TACGAGATGCCGTAGATGTAGTAGTCCTGTCGTCGACAGAAAAGGTGAAGTGGCAAATGGCGAACCAGGCGGGGGAAATTCTTGCTTCCACCTTGGTCGCGTCACGTGGAGATGTGCGACCAGATGTAGTCGACCGAGGCAGCATAGCCGGGAAGGCCAAAGGCACGGTTGCCGCCGCCGACCTTGAAGGCAATGTCGTTGAGGGCGACGAGGTGAGACCAAAGACTGCAGAACGTCAGTATGAGACCAACATGGTGGCGCAATGGGCGAGGCGGACGGGGGCGCGCACGCACTTTTCCGTCTTGATCTCGGCCTGGAACGCCTCGGACTCAATCTTGGGCTTGCACTGCGCGGCGGCAGTGACAGAAGCCAGCGACAGCAGGGCTGCCGCGGTCTGGGAGAACTTCATGGCTGCGGGCGAGGGACCGAAGTGTGTGTGTGTAAGAAGCCGTCGGCGGGACGGATCGACAGGAATGGCAGTGTTAGCTAGACCTGACCCAGAGGCGTGGCAACGGGTTGCGGCGGGGGGAGAGTCATGTTATTTATCGATGATTCCTCTTGCGTGCACTCTCTCTCTCTCTCTCTTCCCTCCACAAAGCAAGGTTACACTCGATTCGGTTCCCCTCGGTGAATGAAATGTTTTGTCGCCTCCCCTGGTGGCGTTCCACCGCGGCGGCGTGCGGATCGGCAGGGCTTGTCATGGCAGTTGCTACATCGGGAAGGTCGACGTTCGGGAGGGGTCGTCGGCGGGCCATGGCCAAGGGCTGGGGGGGTTAGGGGTTAGGATGGTCCGGATGAAGGCTTGGACGCTCACGCCGAGTGTCAATGATCCTGTCCTTGGGTATGGCTGGTATCGCGTCTGCCAATCCATCGTAGAGACATTTCGTGTCCATGGCAATCCCCAGCGGCCACAGGTTCCTCGGATGCCCCGCGCGCGCGCACGGTCGTGACGACGCCGATAAGATCAGTACGGGATATCGCTTTTCGGACAGGATGGGCGCGGGAAGAAAAGAAGCTTACTCGAAGCCACCTCAACCTTGATTCTCCAGGGATCGCCCCCGCCCTGTCCCTCCGCGTGCAAGCGTGCAAGCGTGCAAGCTAATCATCCAACCCCATCCGCCCACCGGATGACGCGAGGGACCCCCCCCTCGGGCCAGCGACCAGGGCCCGGAGACCCAGCATCAGATAGGCAGGTGAAAAGGTCTTTGGTATCTTCCCAACCATGGGCGGCGGTTTGAATGGTTCTCAACGGCCGCCAGCCCTGCGTAGGAGAAAGGGGCCCAGAGTCGAAGGCCAAGAGAGGCCTTGCCGGAACAGCTTGGCGGGTGGGCATAGCGCGGTGTCTGAGGTACGGAGGTACCTTACCCAGGTCAGCCCGTGAGACCACGGATGGTGCGTTCACAGCAAAAGTTACAGCGGGCAAGTGGCACACGACGGGCTCATCGCCCAGGCACACGCACAGGCACAGCGGCAGGCAGGAGCCATCCCCGCTGTGGCGCCGCCTCACCCGACGCCTCCTTCTCGCTCTGCCAGAGGGCAGCCACCCACTGGGGCTGGGCTGGTGGTGCCTTGGGTAGGTACCTAGGTACTGATAGGCCCCGTTGTCAGTGTACATGTAGTTCATCCGGCTGCTATATGTATACACCGCAATGCCCGCTGGAAACCCCTATTTTCACGTGGCCCATCTACTCCACAGGTGAGGTGCCTAGGAGAGCCTCCAAGTGAACTTCATAGCATCATGTCGACGTTCACAATGACCAAGACTAGGACTCCCTATGCACTTCCCTGAAGCAAAGGAATTCAGGGATCGACCTAGAACGAAGCCCATCTCCATGCTGTGGGCTGGACGGATCTCTCTGCCAGCTACTCGCGAAATCCGATCACCCCAACTCGTACTCCCATACCTGACCCCCATCATCACGATACCGAAGAGAAGCAGCGCGCGCAGAAACCGGATGGGTATTTTGGCCACTATTCTAATCATGCCATGTTCCACGTTCCACGTGCCACGTGCCTCTCCCCCCCCCCCCCATTCGTCCTGGACGCTGCCCACATGCCTGGGCCCTTTCTCCCCCCTTCCCTCCTCATACGCATTAGTACACCCAAGGATCCGCCTGGCCCCTGGAATTCTGCTCTCATGTACAGAAGGCAGAGGCCAACAGACCTGGAATTATCAGAAAAAGCAACAGAGAGAAAGAAAGAACCCCCCAGAAATGAAACAGGCGAAGAGGCATGAAAAGTGAACAACGCCGTGCGCCCTTGTTTGACCCTCCTTATCCCGCGTCCCAATGGCCCCGGCCCCGTATTCCATACGTTTGATCATGTAGCCTCGACCCATCGGCCTTGGACTCTTTCAGCTCTTCCGCCTCCCTCCCCCCTCCCTACCCTCTCCCTCCATGCATAAAGTGATGCCGAATGGCGAACAGGAAACGCGCGTGCCCACCCGCTTGCCATGCGAACCGAATCAAAGTCGCGGCAAAATGAACAGGAAAAAAAAATGTGATCGTCCAAGAAAGCTCAGAAGAACTTGCTCATAGCTCTGCTGAGGCTGATAAAGTCCACCGGCTTGGTGACGTAGTCGCTGAACCCGGCTGCCACGCACTTGTCCTGCACGTCCGACATGACGTTGGCCGACAGGGCAATGATGGGCATGCGCGCCAGCCGATTGTTGACTTCCCACTCTCGAATCTCGCGGCACGCCTGGTAGCCGTCTTTGCGCGGCATGTGGAGATCGCACTGTCATGGCGGTCAGTAAAGAGAGCGAGAGAGGAGAGAGAGAGAGAGAGAGAGAGAGAGAGAGAGAGCGAGAGAGAGAGAACCAGGGCAGGAAGAACGAACCAGAATGAGAGAGTAGTACTCGTGGCCCCGCGCCAGCACCATATCCGTGCACTCGACGCCGTCCGCCGCCACCTCGACCTCGACGCCGACCTTTTTGAGGTACTTCTGCAGCACCTTCTGGTTGACCGAGTTGTCCTCGACGAGAAGCACCTTGTACCCCTTGTTGCCCATGCGCTTCCCGATCTCCTCGTAGCTGGCCTTTTGGCTCTCCACCATGCGCTGCGCCGTCGACCGGTTGCGGTCGATGCTCGAGTCGAGCACCTTCTCGGGGTCAAAGATGACGGCAAAACGAGACGGCTTGACCGGCTTGTTGATGAACGTGACGCGTTCCTCCGACAGCAGCGCCTCCCGCTTCGACTCGGCCACCAGTCTCATCACGGCCTGCCGCTGACCCGTGTCCGAAAGAACGAGGACCGTCGTCTTGTCCGTCACCACGTTGCGCTCAATCTTGGTCATCGTCGCGACAAGTTCCTCGGGCGAGGGCAGGTTGAGGACAATGTGCGTAAAGTGCACAGGGTCGTCGCCGCCGATGAGCGCATCTGCCTCCACCATGGACTTGAGCGCCGTAATCTGACGCGGCACCTCTTTGGGCAGCGTCTGCTCAATGTGCTGGGTCGTAGCCTCGCGACTGTGCGTCTGGGGGCAGATGATAAGGATGGAGTACATGGGAGGTCGGAACTCTTCCGTTGCGCCCAGCATCTTGTTCGAGTCGTTGGTTGGCGTGGCATCGCTGGACGTGTCGCTTGGCGGTATCTCCAGTTTCATCTGCGACAAGTCTTGTCCGCTCGCGCGAGCGCCCTCCCTGAAGTGGACGAGGCCCACGTTGATCGACGACACGAACGACCGCCCGTGCCTTGCGAACGCCCCCGAGTGGGTGGACGGCACAGAGCTGCCGCTAGAGCTGTCGAAGTCGGTGCCCTCGTCAGGCGAGGGTCGTCCGGCGCCACGCTTCGTCCCTGGAGGCGCTGCTGGCGGTTCGGATGACGACGCCTTTGGCTTCGGCTGTGATGCCAGGCTTCCGGGGCTCACGGGACCATCGGGATGGTCGTTTTCGGTCGGCAGGGTGAAACGGGCTGTAAACGTAAAAGTTGAGCCTTTGCCAGGAACCGCCGTGCCCTCCATGACACCTCCGTGGAGTTCGACCAACTGCCTGGAAATGACGAGGCCCAGTCCGCTACCGCCGTGCTGCCTGGTGCTGCTTCCGTCGATCTGGCTGAATGGTTTGAAAATAAGCTCGGCCTCCTCTTCTGTGAAGCCACGGCCCGTGTCGATGATGGCGAATTCGAGCATGATCTCGTTGGGCGTGAGCATGGCCGTCTCCGAAGTGTACACCCTGCAGCGGCTGAAGACTTCACCTTCCGAGGTAAATTTGATGGCATTACCAATGACGTTGAGCAACACCTGTCGGATCCTGACCTTGTCTCCTTTGATCCACGTCGGGACGTTTTGTTCGACGACGTAGTTGAGCTCGAGTCGTTTCGCAATGGCCATGGTCGAGACGAGCTCGTTGACGTCCTCGATCAGGGCTCTCGTGTGGAACCACTCATACTTGAGCTTCATCATGCCAGCATCGACCTTGGACAGGTCGAGAATGTCGTTGATAATCATGAGAAGGCTGTTGGCGCTCGTCTGGATCGTGTTCGTATAGTCCCGCTGTTCCTCGTTCAGCACGCTATCCTGGAGGAAGCTGACCATGCCAGAAATTCCGATAAGAGGGGTGCGAATCTCGTGCGACATGTTGCTGAGGAACCGGCTCTTCGATTCCATGGCCTCCTTGAGCTTGGCCTCGAGCAGCTTGTGGTCGTTGATGTCTGTGGCTGAACCGAAGAAGGAGCTGGCGCCGCTTCCAAAGTCAATGTTGTCGATTTCGACGCACCGGATCAGATGCCAGCGGTAGGCGCCCTTCTTGGAGCGAAGCCGGACCTCGGTCGTGTATGAAAGTCTGCCGTTGCTGTCTGTGGAGACCTTGATGATGCCCTTTCTCGCGAGCTCTGTCAGGTCAGCTGTGGGCAACTCATATACGGAGCTGCTACTTGAGCTGTTGTTGCGAGAGAGGGCCTGATGGACACCTCGAATGTTCGAATCGGTCGCTGGGGTTGTCTGCGTCCGGTGAGGGCTGTCGAGTGGCGGCTCGCCCCACGACATTTTGCTGAAGTGACCCTTGTGTGGCATCGGAGTTGGTGGCCGGTCTGTGGGGATCTGGCACTTGGCTAGGTCTTCTGGGTGCACAAAGTCCATGAATCCCAGTCCGAGACAGTCGGTAAAGCTCTGGCCCGTGTAGGACAGCCACTGGTCATTGGCGAATGTGATGCCTTCGTCCTCGGTAGCGGTGAAGATGATCTGAGGAATGAGGTTCGCCAGCAAGCGATGTTTGGCTTCCGACGTCTCGATCTCCTCCTGCCGCGCAGCCTTGAGTTCGGCAATGTGCTGGTCATGAATGTCCATGTACGAACCCAGGAATTGCATGAGCACGCCCCGCTTGTCCCTGGAGGCCACAGCCCGGGCATAGAACCAGCGGTAGGCGCCGTCGAATCGCTTGATCCGAACTGTTCTCGAGAACTGCTCCCCCGTGCGCAGAGAATGACCCCACGCCTTCAGGTAATCGTCACGATCTTCTGGGTGAATGCTACCCCAGGGATCAGCGGCCAGATCCGCGACGGTTTGACCGCGATACGTCAGATAGCGACTGTTGACCCAGACAACCTCACCAGACTGCGGCAGAGAGACGAAGACGTGGGCGGGAAGGGCATCGAGCATGAGGCCCTTGAGCCGGTCGGACGGCGGCGGCATGTCCACGGGGCCGGACGAGATGGACGCGCCGCGAGAGGGAGGGTTGTAAGCAGCGGGCTGGCTGACAACATTGGCGCTTGGGGGGAGCGACTGGAAGCTGGTCGCGAAATCGGCTCCATAGGAATGCAAAAGCGTGTGGCGAGACTGGTTTGCCTCTGGCGTTTTCATCGCCCGCGCTTCAGGGACCCCTGCCGGCTCCTCATCGGCCAGCGACCCTTTCCTCGACGCTCGTCCCTCGCTCGCAGCCTCCCTCGCGTGGGCGTCGGGTCGCGGCGTACCCTCCTGGGGCGCCATTCTGCCGGAAGGCTGCCGGACCAGACGTTTCTCCAACGGTGGTGAATCTTTGGAGCCGCTCCGAGACCTCGACATGCTGCTCTTGGATGTGGACTCAGCCTTGGAGAGGTTGGACTTTGTTCGCGTGCTAAAGTAGCTGTCGCCAGTCGTCTGTGCCGGGCTCGCGCCCGTCCTGGCATCCATGACCATCCCCAGGGAGCTCTGGTCCCAGTTGGGCGTGCCGCTGGGCGATCCGGTCGCGCTCTTGGACAGGCCGGAGTAATCGCTGGGGCTGGTCAGGCTGTCTGCAAGCGAGTTGGGCACGGCCATGTCCTCGGACGACATGAAATTGAAGCTGGCCATGGTCGAGGGGTTCATCAGTGGTCGTCCATCGCTGCGAATGGCGCCGAAGCCGGCCGTCGCAGGCCGTCGCCGTTGCATGCCGGCGAGCTCAGTCTCGAGGTTGGTGTAGTGACGAGCGAGTGAGAATGACGTCGCCATGTGGGGCGCGAGATGTTCCAAGGAGTGTCGAAGATTAGAAGGGTACGGCAAGACAGGCGTCAGAATCGAAAGAATGGCAATGGGTGTCGATTTGGATTTCCGGCGTGAGCCATCCGGCGTAGGCGGCTGGCCCTCGGCCTTGCCGATGTGCGGTGCCCGGTTGTGTGACTTGTGCTCCAACGCGGCGTTATCAAGCTTGAAGGGGCGGTGAGGTTCGGAGAGGAGCAGATGCGTCAAGGGGATGTGCAGCACGGTCCACGAGTTCTCGACGCCGATAGCCTCCGGCGGCGGCATGGCAGTGTAGTCTTCTGGTGCCGAGGTGGGGTTGAAGGAGTCCTCGTCCACCATGGCGTCGGCGAAAAAGGGGTTTTCCTTCGTGTCGGATCGAATGGCAGGCGAAGGGGCGGGCGACTGCGACCACGGCGACGGCGGTGCCTGCTCATACTCCTCATACTGCGGCGTCGGAGGTTTCGGGCTCTCTTGATCAAGACGCGAGATCTTGCTCGACGGCGGAGCCTTCTCAGCACCGAGGTGTGCGGCGCCACCCAGGAGC